CTACTAACACACGACACTAGCGTGGGGCCTTCCCCCCCACACACACTCATGCTTGGGACCGAAACACGTGCACAATACAGGCCTGTTCTGACAGCCCCCAGTGCGAGTCCTCAGACCTCAGAGCTCAAGGAAGAGAGAAAAGCAAATGAAGCATTTGGAGGCTCCCAGGACAACTCTTAAATAGCAAAGCTACACAGTGAAAGCGAACAGATTGACGCCCATGCATCTTTTACCTCCTGAGATGAGGAAAACTTACCCAACCACAGAAGCATATTGAGGAGACCAAGGAACAGTGCTTACACATGGTCATATTGGAGCCTGAAAGTGAAAAAAAATACCAAAATTAATATAATGCCTTTATTTAAAATTATGCTGAGCTGGGTGTTTGGTCTAGTGGTTAAGAGGCTGGGAAAGATGCCTGAGTTCCATATTGGAAACCTGGGCGTCAATATCACGCTCTACTGATCCTAGCTTCCTGCTAATACAGACCCTGGAAGACAGCAGATGATGGCTCAACTGAGTTCCTGCCACCCACGTGGGAGAGCTGTGTCATGTTCTTAGAGCCTGACTCCAGCCCTGAAAACTATGGATATTCAGAGAACAAAACTGGCATACAGGATTGGTCCCTGTCTTCCTGCCTCGTGAATAATAAAGTCCTTTAAAAAATGTGATATTTTGCTTATCACGTTTTTTGGGCATGTTTAAAAAGATATATTTACTTACTTACTTATTTGAAAGGCAGAGTGATAAGAAGAAAGAGATTTTCCATGCACTGTTTAACGTCCTAAATGGCTGCAGTGGCCGGGGCTGGGCCAAGCTGAAGCCAGGAGCCTAGAACTCTAACCGATCTCCCACATGTATGCCATCGGCCCAGGCACTTGGGCAATCTTTTACTGCTTTCCCAAGCACTTTAGTATGGGTCTGGATCAGAAGTATAGCAGCCAGGTCTCAAGCTGGTCCTCATACAGGATACCAGCATTGCAGGTAGTTGCTTAATTTGCTGTACCACAAGGCTGGCCCCTGCATTTGCTTTTTAAAATATTGAACTAAAATATCTACTAGATCATTGAATTGGTTATGCTCTATTCAACCTTGTTTCTCAGGAAATCACCTTGTTTGCTTTACTCTCATAGGCTAGGACTACCACAATTTCCATCTTTGACTCCACACTTCCCCTTATATTAATGCCTAATTCTGTTGGCTCTAGCTGGAAAATATTCCCCAAATATGAGTACTTCCAAATACTTCCAGTTACACAACCAGGTTTAAGCCACTGTCATCTCTCACCTGCTGTTCTGGTGACTCTTCCCGTATAACTAACACATCCTATCATCTTAAAGCATAGTAGTACAAACTAGCCACCCCTGAATTTTGTGCACATCTTTGTGCATTGAGACTTCAGGAAGGAGTTGGCTGAGTTCTTATTTGAAACCTCCAAAGTCACTGCAGATAGGTGTTAGCTTATGTTACAGTGCTCGCAAGGCACAGCTGGACTGCATGGCCCAGATGGTTCACTCATGGCTACAACAGCTGATGGTAGTTTTTAGCCATAAGCTCATCTTAGGCTATTCACCAGAATACTTAACACACAGTCTTTCCGGCATGGAAATCTCAGTGGAACTTCTTGGAACTTCTACATGGTGGCCAGCTTCTCAGGGCAAGCACCGCAAAAGAAGCAAGCAGAAATCTCACGACTTTTGTGCCTGTCTTGATCTGTTCTGGCAGCTATACTAAAATAGTTTAGAGTGTTTTATATCTATCCGTATGTGTGTGTATATATATAGATTCACACACACATAGATAGGTATAGGTAGATATATAATTATTTGAAAGGCAGAAAAACAGAGAAAGAGACACACAGAGAGATTCTGTTCATAGTTTCAATCTGCAAATGGCTGCAATGGCCAGGACCGGCCCAGGTGGAAGTCACATGGATAGCAGGGACCTGAGCACTCAGGCTGTCTGCTGCTTTTATCAGGCGCATCAGCACAGAACAAGATCAGAAGTAGAGCAGCCAGGACCGGAACCAACACTCATATGGAATGTCAACATCACAGGCAACAAAATGTCAACTCCTAGACATTTAGATTTATAAAGAGCAGAATTCACTGCTCATGATCTAGAAGATAGGAAGTCTGAATCAAAGGTATCAGCAGAACCACTGTCTGCTGAGGGCTCGTTCTTCACAAATGGCACCTTCTATGTGTCCTCGTATCATGGAAGTGTCCTCATATAAAGGCGCAAACATGCTCCTTGAGCATTTTTAAAAGGCCATTGGTGGCTAATGTGGTGGCATAACAAGCTAAGCCTCTGGCTGTGATTTCTTATGTGTGTCAGCCTGTGTCATGGCTGCTTTACTTCCCATTCAGCTCTGCTTGTGGCCTGGGAAAGCAATGAAGGATGACCCAAAGTCTTGGGGCTCTGTATCCACGTGGGAGATCTAGAGGATGCTCCTGGCTCCTTGCTTCGGATCAACTCACCTCTGACCACTATAGCCATTTGGGGAGTGAATCAGTGGATGGAAGATTCTCTGTCTTTCCTTCTTTCTGCAACTTTGCCTTTCTAATAAAAGCAAATTTAGAAAACACTGACAATAAAAATTAAACTTTAAAAGGGAATTATTTTCTTTCACAAGGCTTATCTTCCAAAGGCACCATCACGTAATACCATCATCATAGGGGTTAGGTAGTAACGTGAATTTTTTTAAAGATTTAATTTATTTGTATTGGAAAGTCAGATATACAGAGGAGGAGAGACAGAGAGGAAGATCTTCTGTCTGCTGATTCATTCTCCAAGTGGCCACAATGGCTGGAGCTGCACGGATCCAAAGCCAGGAACCCAGTGCCTCCTCCAAGTCTCCCACGCGGGTGCAGGGTCCCAAGGCTTCGGGCCATCCTCGACTGCTCTCCCAGGCCACAGGCAGGGAGCTGGATGGGAAGAGGCTGCCAAGATATGAACCTGCGCCCATATGGGATCCTGGTGTGTGCAAGGTGAGGACTTTGGCTGCCAAGCTACTGCGCCAGGCCCAGTAGCATGAATTTGGGCAGGTGGGTGACACATACATTCAGACCTTAGAAATGACCTAGCCTCAGAAGTCACACAGCATCACTTCCACCAAACTGTCCTGTTAATAAACAATGGAGAGAAGCAAGATTTATCTGAGTATTCACTTTTTAAAAAATACAGTTCAGCTCACATTGCAAGTCTTCATAGGTTCACCGAAGCCTCCAGTCTCACAAAAACTACCAACTGTGTGAGGCATCCATCTGCTGCACGGGATACAGGACAAAGACCATGATTCACTTCAGGGCAACAGCCAGTGTTTATCTGCAACAGAGTCTTACGAGCAGGTCAGAGTGCACCAAGTAACTGAAGTGTGGCTATTCCCTTCAGTCTCCGAAGCAGTAGCTCAGGCTCAAGCAAAGAAATTTCATATCAGGCAAGTGTGTAACCTAGCCTGGGTTAACGATCTTATGCTTATAGGAATAGGCATATTTTTAGGGTTATTCATATGGGACATGGTAACAGTCACCACACTCAAGGAAGCCAAAATTATGGCACCTGGATGAGATGGCACTTTTGTTTTGCCAATAGAGACAATTTTAGCATCAAAAATAACTATGGTGATAACAAATAAAAGCATTACGCCTTACAGTCGTTTCTGAGGGCTTCGGGGATAACACATTCAGGTTTAGGAGAATAAGGAAAAGCTGATCTTCAAGGACAGGATTAAACTGGCACGAACATATGCACTTGGGGCTAGCACTGTGGCCAAGCCAGTTTAACCTGCTGCCTATGATACATCACGCCACATCGGTGTTGGTTCTGTCCCGAGTTCACCAAGTCGCCTGGGAAGGCATTACAAATAGCCCATGTACTCGGACCCCTGCCACGCACATCAGACACCCCCGCCGGGTGCAGACTCCTGCTGTAGCCCTCTGAGGCATCTAAAGAGTGAACTAGCAGCTAGAATCTCTCGCCGCCACCCTCTCCCCCATCGCCGTCATGTAACTGTGCCTTTCAAATAAATACGCAAACTTTTTATATATGCACCTGATATCCGAAAGAATGTGAAAAGACTTGTTTTACTTTCCTTGACGTTCACTTAATTTTTTTTTTCTTTTGCAAAAGCAGAGTTACAATTTCGCCTCCCACTTCCCCGCCCCCTGAAGAAGTCGCTTAGCCCGTGAGGAAGCCGCGAGCTCAGAATTCATCCGGGTCTCCCACATGTGCAGAGGGGTCCAGTTTCCCGCTGCTTCCTCAGGTGCATTGTGGGGAACGGACTCTAAGTGGGGAAGCCGGGACTCGAACCCGCGCCAATACGGGGGAACCGGGAGGGAAGGTTTAACCCGATAAACCACAACGCCGACCCCTCGACTTTCATTTTTACAGCGTAATTTCACATAAACTGTGACAACTATAGCATTTTTCTGGCTTACTTGCTTGGCTTAGCCTGAAAAACGCAGTGAAGCAACACGTCTTTCCGAGCTTAAGCTCCTCCCCCTCTCCCGGGGAGGACGTACGGCTACGCAGATCTCGCTGAGCGTACGTGAGGTCGCAGCTGGACCAGACCAAGTAGAGCATATGGGGGTCACAATATTGCCCTCTGTGTACATTTTATTCAAATACGTCTTACATACGCCCACTCGGTGTACGCTCCTTTTAGTTAAATCGTTAGAATTTATGAATGTGGTTGAAACCCCGCAGGCCCGCACCTACATCCACTCCCTTACGCTTGCGTGTTCACAGGGCGCCCCCCTGAAGTGGTATCGCCTAGTCTCCAACGGTCAAATTTCCAGAGCGCGCCGCCCGCCAAAGGAGAAGGCGGAGCGTTGGCCGCGACGACGCCTCTTGGCGCTCTCCGCCCTCCAGTGGGCCGGCCGCTTCTGGGCGGGTCTTCGAGACTACAGGCCCAGCCCTGGGTCTGAGAGGCGAGCTCGGTTGGGGCAGGTTGTAAGGGGGCGGAACAGCTACGCCCGCAGTCCGTCCGATTTAGAACCATGAGCGCTCCCAGTCAGTCAGCTTCTCCCGGGGGCGGGGGCAGGGCCAGAGGCAGAGGCAGGGCCAGAATCAGGGAAGGCGGCGGGGTTGGCGGGAGGGAGCGAGAGGTTGTCATTGCTACCGAAACTGGGATTTCACCTGTCCCGGTGCCCAGTACAAGCGACGAAACGGGCCATCCCTCCACTTCCGATTCGTCCGAGTATAGTATCCGTTCTGAGTGGCAGACGCTCTCGCGGCCGCCGTTCGTTTCCTCAGAGTCGAGTACGTCCTCACGGGAACCGGCCGACTCGTGGAGCTCTGGCGTGTCCGCTCATCTCAGCAGCAGTGTTAGCCGGGCTACTGATTCCGACACTAGGATTGGCCGTTGGGGGTTTAGTGTCCTCAACCCGAGGAATCGGATCTTAGAGCCCGCCACTCACTTAGAGGTTTCGGAGGGGGCTGCTCCTCCCACTAACCCAAACACCGACATTTTGGGCTTACCGGTAGCACAAACTATCGTCCCGCTTTCTGATTCTGTTATGTCAATTCAAGGATCCTCACAGCCCTCTTTATTGAGCACCCCCCCTAGTTTGGGTGATTTGCGTTCAGAAGCTATTGATGAAGGGTCAGTGCCCGGTTCCCAGGGAGGGTTGATCGAAGAGCCCATCCCGGCTTCAGAGCCCAGCTATCGCTGGTTATCGGAGCCAGAGCTTCCCACAGAGAACCGCCCCTCACCGGCCTCTGTGCCACCCACTGCGACAGCTCGTAACAGAACCCGAGGGCAGGGATTCCACAATCCCCCGGCGCCTGGTTATCCGTGGGTGTCAGTGTTAGGGCCCCCTCTTCCCAGATACTTTTCCCAACTGTCTGTGCAAGGGCCCCGTGTACCCCATAACACCCCTCATGGGTCTGGCCAGCACTCGATGACCAGCCGGGATTCGATAGAACAACCTTCACGTAATTTCCCGTCTCAGATATCGATCCCAGTGCCTACTGTACCGTATAACACCCCACGGGCGTCACTGCAAGGGCCCAACACCTTCCCAGCGCCGGGCTGCAACCGCCTGTCTCTAGAAGGCTCGGCTCCGCCCCCCGGCGCTCCCTGGGTGTTAGCACATGGATCTGCCCCGCCCGCGGTGGCCGGCCCCCACTGGGTATTATTAAGAAGGCCGACTCCGCCTTCGTGCTGCCCCCGGGTGTCCGCAGAAAGGTCTGCCCCACCCTTGCCAGTGCCGGCTCAAATACCCACGCCCCGGGAGAGCCAGCAGCCAAGAATGGCGAATCAAGAGAAGGCGATCCACATGTTCGACGTAGTGGTGATTGGAGGCGGTATATCAGGTCAGTGTGAATTTAGTGATGGCCTGAAGGAAGAGCCCTGGCTGGCCTGGGATGGGGGCAGCAGCGCTGTGATTTGGGGAGGGGGATCTTTCTGTTGCCCGACATCAGGCTCAGATCCTGCAAGGTGGAAGAGGGGGATTTGGACCAGTCCTGTGGGTGATGTACTCTGGGGGTGACAAGGACAGTTAGTGCTTCTATTAAATGCAATATGTAATTCGCTTTTGCTATGCAGTTACGGTTAGCATTTTGTGTGAATCCTGCAGTTTTGTGAGGTGGGAGCCAAATGCACGGCTGCTTCCCCAAAGCCAAGCGGCTGGGGTCTGGGAGTTTCCTTCACTCTGCTGAGGTCAAATTGCCTAGCTGGCGAGGGGCTGACGCCTTTCTCTCCCATTCAAGACCCATACTGCCAGTTCCCGATGTCTCACTGATTTCATAGCCCTTGCCCTAAGCAGAAAGCTCAGCATAGGATTTCTGTAGTATTGAGCAGTAGTAGTAGCAATAGAATTTCAATGCTGCACGGCTCTAAGCACTGCTGAGAGGATTCAGTAGACCAGGAGCAAGGAGGCTGAAGCCTTCAGGAAAAGTTACAATTCAACAAAGACAACAACAAAAAGGCAGCGGTGGGGGAGGGGCGGGCTCTTAGTTTTCAGAACTTGCTGGTCCTTTTAAAGGGGTTTCAGAAAAGTGTAGGATATTCATTGCCCACAAGTAATTCCTTTATGAAGCAGGTGCCCAGGGGAGCTCTGGGAATGCCCTTTGATGAAGAACTCCCACTTGCCTGAATTTTGCCCGGTGTTCCTGGTTTGGGTTTGTGGCTGACCAGATGAGTGGTGTGTGAGACTTCTGTTTGTCATGTCGTTGATACCTTAAACTATCATGTGTGTTGTCAGAATTGGTAGCATATTTGAAATGTCAAAATTGTGTTTCAACCCCCAGCTATCATCTTACTCTGACCTGTCCCTCTGCTCTCTGAAATCTTAAACATTTCGGAGAGATTCCTAAATAATTTAGAAAGAGGGAAAAGAAGGTGGAGGAATGAATGGGCCCAACAGTAGCCAGTGTTACATTTATGGGAGATGGAAATAAAGTGTGAAGTTTAATTTGGTGCAAAAAAATGTATTAATTCTTGTATATAAGTCTTCAAAAAGTCCATGGAAACTGAGCATTATAAAAAGGCTCTGCTTCCCATCCTGATCATCTATGTAAACATCAGCAAAAATTTAAATTTAAATTTAAAAAAAGCTCTGCTATATTTTAAGATGGATTTATACCAAAATAAGCTTACATTTTTATGCTATTTTTTCCACAAACTTTTTGAAATCCCTTTGCATAGTCCCTGCAAGGAGACTGTGAACATGCTTACAAAATTAATTATAGGTGCAGATAGCTTTTGACTTCTGTTGTTCAGGATAAACAGTCGATCAGCAGAGAAAAGATGGGCCTGGAGTGTTGCTTTGACAATGGCAGCCTCTACCAGGGAAAGCATGTCTCTGGTGGGTCATCATCAGAAGCAAGCAGAGCCTAGCGTGAATAGTAAGAAAAAGGAGCATTTCGTTTTTTCCCTTCATTTATTCTTTCATCATTCATTTATTTAGCCTACACTTGTTGAGTGACTGTGAAGAAGTGGACTGGTGTTTCCAGAAAGCCTGGGCTTTCCAGGCAAGCCTCCTAGATGCAGTGTGATTATTGATCATTGGGGAATAAATACGATTGTAATGTGTTGTATAAATTAATTATGAGTTATGCCTTCCCTCCCATTTCTATACCATCCGTATTCCACAATAAATTCAGTGTTTTGGGGGGTGGGGCAGATTTGATTCTTGTGTTTTTTTCTTGGTATGTCTCCAGGAATACCTAAAGAGTGTTTTGTCTTTTATTTTTTTGTCTCCCTTTTGACCACGCTTTACTCCCCAGCACTTACTTGGTCAGTAGCAGAGGCAGATTTAGCATGCAGCTGATGGGCTTCATACCTGATGGCCTTTCAAACTACGGGTCCCTTTTGATTCTTATTCAAAATAAATAGCTGAATATTGAATGTTATATTCACAATCTTGCTTTCCCGTGTCTTCCAAAGGGCAACCAAATTATGTAAGCTTCAGATTTTTACAAAATCTGAGTCTGATCATGATTCCTATTGTTCATTCATCTTACTTTCAAAGAAGTAAGATTTTCAAGAAGTAAGGTAGAGATAAGAGGGTAGAAAAAAGACATACAAGATGAGAAAGATGTGAAGAGCCCAGAAATGGAGTCATGAGGTATCAGCTAGACATGAATACTACTTAATTTCAGCACATAGCTTGAATTCCAAGGAAGGATGGTAGTTGCTCCCATGTATGCCTCCCGTGATCCTGGTAGCTAATTGTAGTGACCCTGGCATGCCACATCTGTACAAGATTTTTGTGCCTATGTGTGAGTTGTGAATGGTTTGAGTACACAGTGAAAGACACTTGAAGCAATGCTGACTTGGGATGGCCACAGGTGAGTAGAACTCATCCTTGTTATTTGCACTTAAATTCTGAGTGTTGTATAGACAGAGTTCTTAGTATCCAACAGGACCTAAGCAACCGAATCGCTTCAGATTTTGATCCACAGGCTGGGCTGTACTTAAAGAATTGGGAGCAGTAACTGTCCAGAAATCAGGTTGTATGGAAGCTGCGAGGGTTGGCTTTTTCAACATCCAGAAAAGCCATTTTGTAAGAGAATGACTGATGTTCTGGGTTCTGACAATTAAGTTCATACTATACTACCATTTCTCTTTTTGCTGAAACATATTAACCATAAGGATAACTTCTGCTAGTACTGTTTTAGACATTTTAACCCAGAATTTAGCAGAGTGTACTGTATGGTTTTATGGTGATTCAGAAAAGCTTCCATTTTAAAAATTCCATTAAAAATTTTTGGTACCTTAGTTTTATAACTATTCTGAGTTTCAGTATGTCCTGTGAATTAGTTTTGAGCCTTTTAGGACAATTCTTTTCCTTATTTTGTATTTTATATTTGGTACTTTTTTCCCTCAAAAATAAACTGGAATACTTACTAAAATTTCTTTATGCTGACAAGAAATAGAATTATTTGGGATCTTTTTTTTTAATCTTCGTGGTTGAGTGAACTTTTGAGTTTACCTGGTATTTAACAAGTAATTTTAGCATTTATAAAGTCAATAATTTTTAATTTGAATTTATGCATGATTTTCAGCTAATGTGAAAAAATGTATTTAACAGTAGATCTTAATATAATTGTGTGATTCACAGACACTAATGATGGAGGAGAAGAAACGTGGAAGGTCATTATTATTTAATATTGGGTCTTACAGTCTTTACGCAGTTGTGACATAGAAATAATTTTAGCATATGAAAAATCTTATGATATTTGCATTTAGATATACCTGGAAAATGTGAGGTTGTATTGTAATTTTATATTATACACAGGGGCTTCCAAGAGTACCTAACCCTGTGATTTAAAAAGTATAGACACTCGTTAAGTAGCTGTGTGGTTATATGTGGTTACTTTTGAAAGTTCATGGGACACATGTATTATGAACAAAATTATGTATGGATTTCCAAAAATTTTTGCACCAAAATAAGTAACTTCTAGTTCTGCTTTTCCAGGGACTTTTAAAAGTGCCTTCATGGTTACATGTATGAGACTAATTTCATGATGATATGATTGTTTTCGTTTTTAGTTTGAGTAATCAGAACAACTTTCCAAGTTGTGAGGCCAAAGTAAAGTCTCATTTAATAAAATGTTTGATTGATGATGTAAGAGTGTCAATAAGAACTTAAAACCTGCATGATAAGCTTTGAGAGTTAATTACATATTAACCATGTGTAATATTCACAGAATTGCCACCTGAAAAAATTTGAAGGGCCTGAGCTGGAAGCTTGGAAAATCTCATTAACTACCCAATGCCATGATAGTTTTAATGACATAACTTGACCTCGGAACTCTAAACGATTAACTTCTAGGACAGTACATTAAGTTCTAGTTCACTGGATTTGTTCTATAGCTTTATTCATGTATCTGTAGTAAAACTTATTGCTTTAATTTGAAGCATGTGGCTCTACAACCTTGTAACTATTGCTTAACAGTAATTTATACATTGGAATATCAGGACACTAGATCATGGAAAATGAAATCAACGCATGAGTTTATTTTGGTAAAAATAATGCTGAAATCCATGTGTACAAGGGGCATTTTAGAAATTCTTTAAAAATGTGCCCTATGGAAATCTATGCATAAATTTCAGATTTCTTTGCAATAAAACTAACCTTTCAATTCTATGATCTATTAACTGTTTGAAGTTTGCTCATAGATTACATGCATGTTATTTCTTTGTGAAATTTTAATTTTAAATTATAAATATTTTAATATTTATGTAAAGTATAAAAGTATTTTATATTTGTATATTTTTAGTTTGAATGTAATATGCTTTATGTATTATAAAAGTAGTTTTCCAAGATCAGTATGTAAATGTTTTGCATATTCAAATGAATTCATTCTTATCAAACATGCATTTCTGATTTAAGCTGCAATTGTTGTAGCTTATTAGATCATTGGTTATTGAAAGAATTTGACAAGATTCAGATTCATGTGAAACAGGAAAAATTTGGTCTGAGAATATTCTCCCATTTTTCTGTCAGCCTATTTATATAGGAATTACTTGTGTGAGTCATTGGATTCCCCCCTCAACCTCATCTGTTATATCTCAGTCATTGGTGTGTAATAATTGCTGTATAAAGCTACCATATGAAACATAAATGATTGGTGATTTAGACTTGGATTCCATCCCCAAGATATCTCATAATATGTATGTAAATATTATAAAATCTCTAAAACATTGAAATCTGAAACATTTCTGGTCTCAAGTATTTTGAGTAAAATTTTCAGCTTGTGCTTGATATTGGTTCAGAAGTCCAGAGGTGGCACTAACAAGGAAGCAGTTAATTCTATCTCGAAGAAATTCTAGGTAGCAAGAAATTACAGGTAAAGAATTAATAAAG